CACACACACACAGATTTAGGTTCACAGTGAAACAAAGCAGCCTGATGAGCATTTGAAAGGAGCATCTTACCCTACAATCTGATTGAAGTATCTTCTGTAGCCTTCCACTGTCTCATGCTAAACACACAAATAGACACAAAGCCGTGTTAATACAGATGCAAACGTAACAGTCAGCAGGAAGGCAAATATTGAAATAGGAGGGAGGAAAGAATAAGTTAAAAGTTGTGTTTCTGCAGCTCTTGTTTGACACGGCTTTTGCTTTGTGACGTCATCCCAGGAACCACCGAAGCTCAAGCCTGCTGGGCCCTGGAAGCTGATCAACCAGCACCACTCTCCATAGTAAAGACATGGACTGAGATGGTGCCACCTGTCTGTGCAGCTGCCCACATGGACAAGCCATAAGCCAAATGACAGTGAGATGCACCGAGCATGCTGGTGGTAGCATCTTGCTCTGGGGCTGTTTTGCTTTATCCTGATGTTATCCTAAAACTTTAAAACATCCTTTATAACTTTTTAAGTACAGCTGTTTAATTTTCCCCTGAAAAAACAGTAACAGTCATGTTTTTCTAAGCTTTGTCAGAGCTGGATCACAGCTGCTGTACGACCTGTGAGTAATCTATTCAGTCATAGTAAGAAATACACAGGTTCTAGGAAAAATTAACACAAGGCAGACTGTGTTTAGTGCCATATAGAGTCACAATGAAAGGCCCACTGAAAACCCCGAGCGCTTGTCTGAATTTCATTCATATCTTCACACGTATGTTAAAGCGCTCGTGTTGCTCACCATGTTCGCCTGAGGCTGCAGAACTAGCCGGGCCTGTTTTTTCCTCTGCTTCCTGTAGTAGTTCTCAAATGTTTCTCGGTCACCCTGCACACACAGAATACACACATAGATCAATTAACTATGTGATCTATGATGTTACAAACCAGAACACTCAGGTACCATCAAATCCCTTTCCACAGACTGTCCTGGGTCTGGAGACTCGCTGGCTTTTAGTTTGTATTCTTGCTTCTTTAGTGTTTTGGTGATTTCTAGTTGTTGTGTTTTGTTGTTAGGTCCCTTGTGTTACTTCCAGTCATCTCTATGTTCATGTATTTCCTGTTTTACTTTGACAGTCCCGTGTCCTGTTAGCGTTTATAGTGTTGCTCTCCTCCCCGTCTCGTCGTGCCTGATTAGTCTCGAGTTCCCCTCCTGTTTCCTATTTCCTCATTATCCTCTGAGTATGTATGGTGTGTGTTTTCCTTTGTTCCTCGTCGGATCATCTGTCAGGTTTCATGTAGAGTTAGTCGTCCTTTGCTTTTGTTTGTTGTTGTGTTCGCTAAAATAAAGGCTCGCTTTCTGTTCAACATCCACCTTCCTGTGTCTGAATCCCCGTCCTTTTTACCTGCTCTGGGCTTCATGGGCCTTATAAACAGACCCGGCACTATTTTAGGTGACACAGAGAGGAGAGCTGACTCTTCTGAATGTGCAGCAGTCTGATGTAATCACAAGCTGATCATGAAACAGCTGAGTCTGCTGTATTTCAGGGGTGACGTTGATTCCAGTTAATTAGCATAGCTATCATTAGATAATCAAAATCCAATGGATAGCATTAGCTATTAGCTTTCGCCACAGACACCTACCAACACAGTATAGATGTGTAGACACCTGTAGACGGGCGAGAAGTCCACCAGGTCCTGAGCTGTGAGAATCTGTAAGAACACACGCAAACAAATGTTTTAACTGCTTCTTTATATGTTGGTTATTTGGTCATGGTAATTGGACTCGTTCCTGCTCTGAGCACTCAAAGTGCTTTCCACAGTGCCTCGTTCAGCCATTCACAGAAGCACGTTTTGCTATGTGCTTTCTATTTAACATAGAGCTTCACATACATTCATACTCTGATGGATGCACTGGAGAGCAACTGGGAATCATTATGGCACGCAGGCTTGAGCAGCCAGGGATCGAACCACGAACCTTAGCAGGTGACCTGCCTTACCTCCGGAGCTACAGCCGCCCCGACAAGTAACAACCATGTTTACAAAACTGTCTTATGTAATTATAGAAACTTAGTTA